GTAATTGGTAGATTAATATTATTCTGTAAATTTAAAATAAATTCACTAATAAGAGTACAGTACACATGCAAACTACAAGGAACTTGCTTAATTTTGGTTTTAATGAGAAAACACTTATTGTAACATCAAAAAAGAACAATATTCCAGAGGGCAAGATGGGTTTTTTCTATTTATGTTTATAAATAATGACACTTTTAACATGTTTTAGTTCCATACAACTTTAAAAAAAAATATAACTTTTTCAAATAATTAGAACATCTCGCTCTCTGAATATTTTTCTCTATTAATTTCATTAAAGGTGTTTTTACCCTAAAACTATACAGTTCTGTGTAGTCTTTGTAAGCATGTTTTTACTATATAATATTGTGTTTGTAAAACAGAACCAACAAATGTATGTGTAATGTCTTCTTAAACATAATCTCTAATACATACACATTAGTTTGTTTTATAAATACCTGTTTGATCTACTAATATACAATACAATTTATTTCTTGGTAATTTTAAAAAAGGAAATTATCTTTTTTAGTACAATGTCGTTAAAATTAAAAAAAAAGCGTAAACTTTTTTTTTTTTTATTTAAACAATATTACATTACATTATGGTGTTCTATACACCTCCTTTAAGGAGAAATTGCATTGGAATAGAGAATTACAAATTACAGATTTAAACTAACCATTTAAAATTACATATTATAAATTATAAACTAAAAAATATATATTTAGATAGAGTGCAATATAAAACAAATAAATTAAATATTAGTTACATTTTTAAATGTCAAACTTGATTACTATACAAATATAATTTTAAATAAAATATGTAAAGTATTATTTTATATATATTTACAAAACGTGTATGTCCAATTACAAATTAGAATATCAACAAGACTAAATTGCATAACTTTTACAGAAAAGATAGGATTGGTGTATCATATTAATATGTTTAACAAATTTGCAAAAATTCAGAATAATAATACAAAACATGTCAAAACCACTTTTAAGACTAATAATAATTTAATCAAACATGATAAACAATATAACTAAAAACTAAAATCCAATTATCATAATATTCCAATATTCCAGGGCCTTTATCCTTTTTTTATTTTTATTCATTTTTATATTTATATAATTATTAACTATAAATATATACAAATTGTTTACATACCATATAGGATTAAAGGCTGACTGAACTAATAATAACTTTAAGTGGAGATTATTGAACTATCTGAGTAAAATACTGTTCATCTATATCAAATTGATAAGGTTAATTCTCTCTATGAGTATTTTTATGTTTAGTTAATTCAGTTATAAAAGTAAATTCTTGTTTACATGTTAAACATTTGAAAGGTGTATCCCCATTATGAATTCTTTTATGCAAAACGAATTGGACTATCCTATTAAATTTCAAGTTGCATATATCACATATGAACGTTTTTTGCCCAATATGAATTTTTTCATGTTGAGTCAATTTTGATCTTTGATTAAAAGACATGCTGCATAACTCACATGCGTATTTCTTTTTTTTATGATGAATATTTTTATGTTTATTTAAATTAGATATATATTTAAATGGCAGATTACATTCTGAGCATGTGTAAATATTAACCTTACCACAACTTTTTTTCTGTGTTTCCAAAGTATGTATTACTGAAAATCTCTCTTTATATATTTTACGCACAGCAGGTTCTTTTCTAGCATGCAGTATTTCATTGACATCAACTTCAATTGTGTTCTTGATATATCTGTGCCTGATAAAAAATAGATAATTGTGATAAATATTAATACTGTTTAAATACTAAAGAGGCTTGTACAGTACAATATAATACAAAAAATATATAATGGACTAAATATACTATGGAAAACAATATTNACAAAGAGTCCTCATTTGAATGATTAGTTATTTTACTTATAATATATAGATTAATTCCTTCTTCACGTTTGAATACACCATCACCTCTGAAAAATTTAAATGTCATAATAATTTTAACTAACAATACATTTTAGTTAGTTGTTCAGAGTTCACACTGTTTGGAAAACCACATGAATATTGTTTTATGGAAACCCAACAAAAACAAAAAAAAAATGCTGAAATTCTGTGGACTAATATTTCTCAAAATGATAATTTTAGGTAGGTAGATTTATTTAACTTGTATATAACCTATTATACTAATCTTATAGCTTCATTGATATTAGATATTATATTATTTATAATTATATATAATATAAATCTGTGTTCAACATTAAAAATTAATTTTTCCTATAAAATTGTTTTATTTCGTATTTATACACCAGTTATACTCAAATTTTAAAAAGGGCAAATTGTGACAATTTTTCGAAAAAAAGTATCCAAGAAGTATCCAAGTCAAAAAAAGCTTTAATGTATGGTTATATTAAAACCTAAAAGTAGATATTAACCAGATTTAAAATTAAAATCGTGTCTAGCTTTATTATATAATTTAATGTATGAATAAAATAGGTTAATTATAGGAAAAAAAAATTCTCAGCTAGTAAATAATTAAATTAAAATTTAATTTTTGATATTAATTTTTCATTTTTTAATATTGCGTTATTAAGACAGTCTTATTTGTCCTTGAGCCCTAATAGTTATTTATTTAGCATATAAAAAATATTTAAAAAACGTTAATTTAATTTAAAAAAAATATTTAACAAACAGAATTTATTATTATATACACAAATTTAACCAAACCATTTTAAAAGCAGAACATAAAAATCTGTATATTTGTAAGACATACGGATTGAATTACATATAAGGCTAGAAATTCTATCTTATATATCATAAAATCCGATAAGGGAATCACCTAATTGAATTACACAATTTATAGCATTGGCCGACAATATTATTTTAATTAAAAATATGTGTATTCATTTAATATTAAAAATAGTTATAAATAAACAAACTAAAAACACTCACTGGGGTTCAGTGATAGGGTCCTCTTGTAAATTATTAGCTAATTCACGTTTAATAAAATCATCATCTTCTTCTTCAATTTGGATAATATCCTCAACTCTGAAATATTTAATTTACATAACAGTTATTAATTAGCAATTCAATTTTATCAGACACTCAGAGTTCACACTGATTGTCTGGATAACTACATTCCTTTTGTTTTAAAGAAAACCAACAATTTACAACAAAACATTCAGAAAAACTGTGGACAAAATATTTCTCAAAATGATAATTTCAAGTAAGTCATATAATTTAATTTGTATATCATCTATTAGTTGAGGATATCTCAACTCTGAAATATTTAATATTATAATAAATATAATATAATAAATTATAAATCCTTGTTCAACATTAGGAAATTAATTTTTTTCATTTTTTTGTATTTTTTTAATTTTAAATACTGGTTTAAACAAGATTTTTAAAAGTTCAAATTGTGAAATTATTCTGAAAAGAATTATTTATTTTCATCAATAAGACATTTAATTTATGAACGTATTATTACTTAAAAGTAGTTATTAACCAGATTTAGAATCAAAATGGTTTGTTGGATTTAACA